AAAATCTGGAAATCGGGAAAGAAGAAAAGAAGCCCCCTGACTCTTCCCTGAGCCCCAGACAGCCCATGAAGTGCCTTGCTGGGAGTGGTAGGACGGGGTGGACTCTGGATTACTCCCTCTGGATGTGTGGTAAGACTGTTAGGGCAACTTTTCCAACAGCCTGAAAGCATTTGCTGCCTTGGCTAGATGGTGCAAGGGCAGCCTTGAAGCAGCTGAAGCTTTCCCTGAGGAGAGCTCTGGGTCTGCCAGATGTGTCAGAAGTGTTGGAAGCATCTTTGGTGGGGAGGGCAAAGAAAGGACAAGGTGTGCAGTGACCCCCCTGACAAGGGACTTTGAGTTAATGGCATTCCTGATGGTGAACTTTGTGGGCTGTTCCCCCTGTAGGGCAGGTGATAGTCCCAGCTACAGTGATGGGAAAAATGGGTGAAAGGGAGCCCCAAAAGCTGGAAATCCTCCTGGAGGCTCTTGGCCAACAGAGTTTCCGGAGTTGCCCCTGCAAGAAGGATAGTGATTAGCTTTTGAGTGCTGGTAGATCCTTTGAATAAATAGCCTTGAGTGTGTCCTTGTTGCCCCTGTAGGCCTTGTCAAACTTCCCATGTTCCAGGAGATATACATATTAAAGTTTAAAATGATGCTTTTCCTAATCCTTTGTTGTCTTGGGACTCTCCCCTCAGGAACTGCAGGAACTCCTGGTGCCGCCTGGGCCGATGGATTGGACGCCCCAGCCCCTCCGTTCCTGCCCAGCCACTGGGGCCGTGTGGCACTGCCAGCCCTGCAGGGGAAGTGGGAAGGGCCTTTGCAGGTCTTGTGGGTCACATTGATAGCAGCTGAAGTTGCAGAAAAAGGACCTGGGGTCTGTTGTTCTTGAGTTCAGAAAGCTCCTTTTGATTGGTGAGCAGGACAAAGTGGATCCTTAGGGTCAAGTATGAAGTGGGAATGCTATGTGCATGTTGAGATGTAACAAGAGCTAATCCTTTTTGCAGTGGGATGTAGCCTGGAAAGTGCCCAGAGCTGAGCCAAGGGATTGAAAGGGACCAACCAAGGGAAGTGAAGAAAGAAGGAAGAAGGGAAGTGAGGCAGCAGCCAAGCAGCAGTAAGTTCCTGTGTAAGCAGGTGAGTTGTGTTTAGGTTCCTCAGGCAGGCACTGAGGACTTTGAGGGCTCCAGACAGAGCAGACCTGGGAAGGCCCTCGGTGAAGCCCCTTGGAAACCTTCTAAGGGTAGGTGTGTATGGTAATAAGTGTTGGAAAAGGCCCTGAATGTGGAACAGGAATGCAGGGAAGGAAAATGAACCCTTATGTAATGCTGACCCCTGCCATCAGCTGCAGTGGAGATACCTGTGTGTGCCCTTTGGGAGCTGATTGCCAGGGCACCCGTGGGGCTGGGATCATGGCAGGTGTTGTAAGCAAGGAATGCCTGGCTTCTAGAACTCACCAGCTGAGTCTTAGAGGCTTCTCTGAAGAGCTGATTTCAGGCAGCAGAATTGCCCCCCAGGAGGGACTCTGTGCCTGCTCTCCCGTGGCTCCAAGGGATCTCTGGCCCTTCACGCCGGCACCGAGATTTTCTCGGGAAGGGCCTCAGATCCCCGGACCAGTCTGGGACACAGGCAAGATCCCCTTGCCTTTAGAAATGAGGCCTTCTTGTGGCTTCCTCCCCGTACCCATTGGTGGGTTCCAAAGAAGGACTCTTGAAATGCCTTTTGGGCTGTCCATTGAACCCTTGGGACCAAATTGCCCCCCCTGGAGGGACAGTGCTGTGGGTGCCCCCCGGGTTGGGGCACCCCGAGGACTCCAGCGCGCACCGAAAGGATTATTCGGGGAGATTCTCGGGGTGCCCGGCCCTGGGGAGCTCAAAGCAAGGTCCCTGCCATGGATTCAGGCATTGCTGAGAGTATCCCAGGGGTACCTGTCCCTGCTAGACATGGAACTCTCTAATGGACTGTAGTTGGGTTATAAAAGTGGTGCTCCAACTGCAAAGGAAGTGTGGGATTGGGATTAAGAAATGAGCAGTGATGGTGCAATTGGCTGTTTTCTCTGGAATGTAATGGTAAGAGCTGCATGAGTGCCAGGTGTGTGTTCCAGTCCCCAGCATTTGGTTTGCACATGTCCTGGTCAGACACAGGTCCAACTTCCTCAGTCCTTAACCCAAGAGAGGGAGAATGAAGGACTGGCAGTGTTAAGGTGATTGGTGTGACAGGGGTCAAACTGGGAAAACACTGGGAAATTCCTCAGTTGGTCTCTTTGCCAAACTCATCCAAACCTGTGCTAGGAAGAGATGGACTGGAAAAGTGGAGGCAGAAATGCAATGGAAAACCAGGGATAATGAAACTGTAGTTGCTGAAACTAAATGTGACAGAGCAGCAGCTCTTGTTGTGCAGGGAATAACTCCTGTCAGCAGCAAGGCCCCGACTGAAGTGGCAGCTGCAGTTGTTCCTGTGGTGTGGGCCAGTGGAACTGCAGGAGAGTGGAAGAGGGCAGAACCTGTAGGTATTACCCCTGGTGTGGGATCTCTCCTGGTAAGGCCAAGCCAGTATCCTTTAAAATCAGAATGCCAGACTGGATTGGTTGCAGGAACAGCTGAATTTGCTCCTCCTGGTTTGCTTGTAGGACGTGAATGCAGAACCTGCCAAGGAACCAATGGCCAAGATGATTGATTAGTGCAGGACCTGAGAGAAGCACCTTGAATGACAACCTTGAGTAGTTTCCAGTATTGGATTGCAAAGATGGCCTTTGCTGCATGTCCTTGAGCAAGGAAAGCCAAGAAAGCTTTGCTTTTGCAGGAGAAACTGGGGAAAGCAGGAAGGAAGAAAAGAAGCCCCCTGACTCCTCCCTGAGCCCCAGGCAGCCCCTGAACTGCCTCCCTGGGAATGGTGGGACGGGCTGGACTCTGGATTGCTCCCTCTGCATGTGTGGTAAGACTGTTAGGGCAACTTTTCCAACAGCCTGTAAGCATTTGCTGCCTTGGCTAGATGGTGCAAGGGCAGCCTTTAAGCAGCTGAAGCCTTCCCTGAGGAGAGCTCTGGGTCTGCCAGATGTGTCAGAAGTGTTGGAATCATCTTTGGTGGGGAGGGCAAAGAAAGGCCAAGGTGTGCAGTGACCCCCCTGAGAAGGGACTTTGAGTTAATGGCATCCCTGCAAGTGAACTTTGTGGGCTGTTCCCCCTGTAGGGCAGGTGACAGTCCCAGCTACAGTGATGGGAAAAATAGTTAAAAGGGAGCCCCAAAAGCTGGAAATCCTCCTGGAGGCTCTTGGCAAAGAGAGTTTGCTGAGTTCCCCCTGACAGAAGGACAGTGACAGCTTTTGAGTGCTGGTAGATCCTTTGAATAGACAGCCTTGAGTGTGTCCTTGTTGCCCCAGTAGGCCTTGTCCAACTCCCCATCTTCCAGGGGATATAGATATTAAAGTTTGAAATGCTCTTCCTAATCCTTTGTTGTCTTGAGGCTCTCCCCTCAGGAACTGCAGGAACTCCTGGTGCCGCCTGGGCCGATGGATTGGACGCCCCAGCCCCTCCGTTCCTGCCCAGCCCCTGGGGCCGTGTCCAGTGGTGGCACTGCCAGCCCTGCAGGGGAAGTGGGAAGGGCCTTTGCAGGTCTTGTGGGTCACATTGATAGCAGGTAAAATTGCAGTAAAAGGACCTGGGGTCTGTTCTCCTTGAGTTCAGAAAGCTCCTTTTGGTTGGTGAGCAGAACCAAGTGGATCCTTCAGAGTTCCCATCTGTGTTTGTGTCTCAGCCTGTGTTAGGATTCAGGGCTGTCAGTTGTTGTCACTGAGGAGTCAAACTGTGCTTTAAATAAGGAGACCCTGGCCTGATGGCCCAGTGTCAAGGCAAAAGGGGGAATGATATGTGAGTGTTGAGATGTAACAAGAGCTAATCCTTTTTGCAGTGGGATGGAGCCTGGAAAGTGCCCAGAGCTGAGCCCAGGGATTGAAAGGGACCAAGCAAGGGAGGTGAAGAAAGAAGGAAGAAGGGAAGTGAGGCAGCAGCCAAGCAGCACCAAGCTGCTGTGTAAGCAGGTGAGTTGTGTTGAGGTTCCTCAGGCAGGCCCTGAGGACTTTGAGGGCTCCAGACAGAGCAGACCTGGGAAGGCCCTCGGTGAAGCTCCTCGGAAACCTTCTAAGGGTAGGTGTGTATGGTGATAAGTGTTGGAAAATGCCCTGAATGTGGAACAGGAATGCAGGGAAGGAAAATGAAGCCTCCTGTAATGGTGACCCCTCCCATCAGCTGCAGTGGAGACCCCTCCGTGTGCCCTTTGGGGGCTGATTGCCAGGACCCCCGTGGGGCTGGGATCATGGCAGGGTGTTGTAAGCAAGGAATGCCTGGCTTGGAAAACTCACCAGCTGAGCCTTAGAGGCTTCTCTGAAGAGCTGTTTTCAGGCAGCAGAATTGCCCCCCAGGAGGGACTCTGTGCCTGCTCTCCCGTGGCTCCAAGGGATCTCTGGCCCTTCACGCCGGCACCGAGATTTTCTCGGGAAGGGCCTCAGATCCCCGGACCAGTCTGGGACACAGGCAAGATCCCCCTGCAGTTTAGGACCAACTTGGCCCCCTGTAGGGACAGTGCTGTGGGTGCCCCCCGGGTTGGGGCACCCCGAGGACTCCAGCGCGCACCGAAAGGATTCTTCGGGGAGATCCTCGGGGTGCCCGGCCCTGGGGAGCTCAAAGCAAGGTCCCTGCCATGGATTCAGGCATTGCTGAGAGTATCCCAGGGGTCCCTGTCCCTGCTAGACAGGGAGCTCTCTAATGGGCTGGAATTGGGTTCTAAAAGTGGTGCTCCAAGTGCCAAAGAAGTGTGGGATTGGGATTAAGAAATGAGCGGTGAGGGTCCAATTGGCTGTTTTCTCTGGAATGTGACTGTGAGAGCTGCAGGAGTGCCAGGTGTGTGTTCCAGTCCCCAGCATTTGGTTTGCACCTGTCCTGGTCAGACACAGGTCCAACTTCCTCAGTCCTTAACCCAAGAGAGGGAGAATGAAGGACTGGCAGTGTTCAGGTGATTGGTGTGACAGGGGTTAAACTGGGAAAACATTGGGGAATTCCTGAGTCTCTCTATTTGCCAAACTCACCCAAACCTGTGCTAGGAAGAGGTGGACTGGAGTCCCTGATCCCCTGGGCAGTTGTCCTGCATGACCTGGGAGCCTCTGGATTTGAGTGGCCTGGGCAGACAGGGAGCAGTTTGTCCTGTGGAGCTGGGCTGGGTTTGTTCAGGATGCCTTGGGAGGCAGGGCTGGAGAGGCTCCTCTGTTGGCTGTAGTGCTGGAAGGTTGTAGCAGCAGGGCTGGAGCCCTTGGACCTCCTGCTCCCCCGTGAGCCCCGACGGGACCGTGCCCTTGGCAAGGGAGGGCCCCCCATTGCTGAGCCAGCGGTTCCGGGGCCAGGAGGGATGGGATCAGGATGCCCAGCTCCACCCAGGGCCAGGGCTGCCAGTGTTCAACCATGGAGGGAACTGAAAGCAGAGTGAGATGGAGACCAAGCTCCAGCACAGGGATGGGTGAGAAAAGATCCTGGTCCTCAGGTGGAGCTTTGAATTCCTTGGAAAATGGATCCTGTCAGATGGTTCAGGCCCTCGTGGGTGCTGGAGCAGAGGCCTCTGTGATTTATGGTCACCCTGAAAGGTTGCAAGGACAGCAAGTTTTGACTGCAGGATGAGGTGGCAAACCAAGTGAAGTGGTGCAGAGAAGAGCTGAGGCTGAAACTGGTCCTGTGGCAGAGCAGCCTCGTGCAGTGCTTGTTGCTGTCCCTGAGTGTCCCATTGCAGTGGATATTTCCAAGGGGGCCTTGTGCTGGGGAACACTGGGGGCAGTTCCCTTTCCCTGGGCAGGGCAGGCAGGGCACGTTTCCCCCCTCGAGGGTGGCTCCACAGTCCCCCCCTGTGCCCTGGGAGCGTGGCAGAACACCTGGACCCACTGTCCTTGTCAGAGAGGGCATGAGGGATGGTTGGGTGGGTGAGGGAATGGTTCAGGGAGTACAAGCACCATTAGAATGAGTAGTGCAGCACCTGGAAAGGAAGGGGGGAGTTAATCCAGACCAAATCCAAGCACCTGCCCAACCTGTGATATTTTTAGGAACTCAGAGGTGCTGTGGTCCCCAGGAAGTGTTGCCCAGGACTAGGCAGGAGACTTCAGGCTTGGTCACCCCCAGAGCCAGGTGGCAGCCCAGCAGTTTATTGGTTGGTTTGGCTTTTGGTGACAACAAGGTCCTCCTTTGGGATCAATCCTTGGCCTGGGCCATGAAGTCCCAGGACAGATCTGTGAGTTTGAGTGGGAAATGAGCAGCAGGGAGGGTTGGAGACAGCTCAGGGAGCAATTCAACAGGCTCAGGACCTGTGGCCAATCTGAGCCAGGGAGGGGGAACTGAAGGTTCCTACCAGTGGTAATGGTGCCAGTTGTAGCCTCTGGCAGAAGTAGGGTGGGAAGGAAGTGCCTTTAGGATTTGGGAATAGGAAGTTACTGGAAGCCAGCCCAAGGTAGCCCCTGTTGGAGAAGGGGCTCTGAGTATGTTCTTGGGCTTTAGTGGAAATCCCCAGAAGGCCGTGGGTACAAAGCTCCTCCAGGGTGCACAGGCCAGGCCCTGCTCAGGAAGGCAGCACCATGGAATGGAGATGGTGTATCCAAGCCAGAGCCAGAGCAGGGGTCGGGGCAGGAGCGAGGCCTCGGGAGGGAGTTGCCAACAGCCCTGTGGTTGAAGCAACAAGTGTAGATCCCCTGGACAGTGAGCACAAATCACTGGGAAATGGGGAAAAGCCCCAGAGCAAGTGCTGGGAGCAGAGAGGGAGCATGCCTGGCTCACTGCTGGGTCAGCCCCATCTGTCAGTGGGAAGCACTTTGGGAAAGCAGGAGCTTATAACCCGTGCCAGAGGGGGGAGGCAAAAGTCGTCCATGAGCTGCATGAGATGCCCCACCTGTGGGAATGAAACAGGACCATGGGAATATGTTGGTGTGAATAACTGTTAGTGGAGGGAATGCCATTGCCATGTTTGAGCTTGATGTCTTACAGAGACTGTGGGTCCTGGCCATCCTCAGAGCCCTTGTGGTCCCTCTGGGCGATGCTGTTGGCCCGGGCAGTGCCCTGGGAAAGGTGCCTGGGTCGGGTGCCTTGGTTTGATTTGGATGGAGATGGAAAAGCAGCTCCAAACCAGGCCCCCAGGACAAGGTGCCCCGGGCAGCAAATGGCCCTTGGCCAGGGGTCAGTGTCCCTTTGTGCCCGGGGGGACTCTCTGGCAGGGCCGGGGTCTGTCGGGCTCATTGTGCGGGCGGCTGTTGGTGCCCTCAGTGGGATGGGATGGATGTGATTCCAGGGGCTGGGAGCACTGTTGCCATGCAGTGCTGTAGTTTCCCTTACGGTGCTGGGGCCGGGGGGTCTCCCTGGCATCCTTGTCCCCCTGTGTGAGCGGTGCCAGTCCCAGCCCCAGTGTCACAGCAGCAGGGCCATCCCCTGGGCTCTGCCTGCGGGGCTGTTCTGGGGAAGTGCTGCCAAAAGAGCAAAGGGATCAGCTGGGGCAGGGGGTGGCACAGTTGGGCATCATCCTCCTGTGGCAAATATTGATCAGGGTAGTAATTTATGAACTGGGCTGAGTGCACGTGCCATAGTGTGTCTACTGTAATAGAAAGAAAGGAGGCACAGACTGACCTAACGAGTACCAATGAACTGACCTGGAGGACTGGATTCACATCCTGGATTGCAAAAATTAACTGGATTTTATCTCCTGAATCACTGCAGGGCATCGACTGATGTTGTGCTGGAAAAATAACACACTTCAGGGTAAGTCAACCAGGGAGTTTTTGTAGGTAAGAGCAAATTATTGCCCTGCAACTTTGAAAGAAGCCTTGACTCGATCACCAACTGCAAGCAGTAAATATAGGGGTCAATGAGTGACCTTTGGGCATTAGGTAGAACAACTCCCTGCTCCCCACTGGTGGGACACATTTACAGCATTCTCACCATCTGCTCCCACGTTTTTGAACACTTGAATCCATCCAGTAATCGCAGTAATTGTACTGATTTTATGCACAAAATGGAGTTGTTGTCTATGGGATCCATTCCAGGAGTTGTTTCTCGTGCGTCTCTGCCCTGCCCAGGGATCAAAGGCCCAAAGGGAAAGGATGAGAAGTTCCCTGAGAATTGAGCCCCGGGGCTGCTGCCCCTGAGGAGCAGGGTAAGGGCTGTGTGTGCTCAGGGGCCACAGTTCTGTCTCTGGGGGCAATCAGGATGTGAGGCCTTGCTCCTTTCCTTTTGTATCCCCTAAATCTGTAGTTGAGGTGTTGGATTGTGTTTGTTCAAACTGTTCCTATTATTCCCTGACTAAGGAGGAGTTGTGTCCTTGAGTGCCCTGCCTGTCAGCAAAACACCAGGCCCAAAGGATCCTGGCAAGTGCAGCCCTGGAAGAGTCAGGAAGACTCAAAAATGCCCCAGTTCTCATGAAGCTCAACTATGTAAAACATTTATGAAGCTAAAATTCCACAGCCTTGAGCTGTTGGGTCCCAAAGAGTAGTGGAGGGAGAGGCAGAGAATGCCCCTGCTGCTGGGGCTGAACTGTGTGCAGTGAGGGGGCAGGACTTGGCCCTGATGCCTGAGTGCTCTCCAGCCCCCAGGCTGGATCCCAGCTGTCAGCCCCTGGCTCCAGCCCTTGAGAAGATGGTGTTCCTGCCAGCCCAGCTGCTGGGCTGGTGGTCCTGGGGGCACCTCCTGCCCTGGCCTGCTGGGAAGGTGTTTGTGCTGCAGCTCAATAAAGTCCCTTTCAGTGGTGATGGTGTCACTTTGGTGTCAGTTCCTCTCCCCTCTTCCCCTGCCCCCGTGGCTGCATCACTGCCTTGTGCCTAAATGAACTCTTCCCCTGCAGCAGTTCCCTGCTGCTCTCAGAGAGGGTGGAGCTGAGGCCCCTGAGCCAAGGGAAAAAGGATCCATCCAAGGCAGGCCCGTGCTCCCCCCCTGCCTTCCTCCAGCCTCCTGTGTTTCCAGTTCCCCTCCCTGCTGGACACACAGCCTGTTCCCAAACAACCCCTGTTCCTGTTCTCTCTCTGTGTCTCCCCTCCCAACTCCCCTCCTATGATCTCCAGCTGCCCAGGCCCCTGGTTTTGAGGGGCATTCCTGGGCTGCTGCCCCCCCATTCCTTAGAACTGAAGTGCCCAGAGCCCCAAGTGCAGAGAGGTCTGCAGGGAATCAGTGCCAAGAGCTGCCCGTGCCTGCCTGTGTTCCTGCAGTTCTCCTTCCTGCTCTCCCTGGGCTGGAGAGACCTGCCTGCCCTGGGTTTATTGGAGCAGAGGGGTGGGATTCCATTGGTGCAGAAGGGATGTTCACAGACACTCCTTTTCTGACAGGCAGTGCCATTTCCCTTCTGCCTTTCCCAAGTTTTCCCAAGTGCTGCCCAGCCCGGGGATCCGTGTGCTGGGACAGTGATTGGCAGGAGGGAGGGGAGCCTTGGCCTCACCTGCCCAGCTCAGGTGGGTGGCACAGAATGGGGGTGGGCTGGCAAGGCATGAACACATTTCTGAGTTCTGGAGTGCCTTGAATCCTCTCCCTGCCAGGTTTCTCTCCCTCCTTTCCTGGGCTCCAGCATCCCAGGTGTCTCTTCCCTTGTCCAAAGTGCAGTGGCAGAGGATGGACTGACTCACAAGGGGGGTTTGGAATGAAAAGGGTTCTGTTCTAATGGGGTAAGGAATGCAGTAAGAAAGGTGAGCCTCCTTTTAGTGCCTGAAAGAGATAGGAATGGAAATGCTGGAAAAGGCCACATTTTATTTTTTGTCCCCCCTGGATTTTTCATGGCTGAAACTCTCTAGTGAGCAACTGAACAGAAGGGTGAAGGGCAGGAGCCTTTGACTTGCCCAGTGCCCTTAATTGCCTTGTTCTCCTCTCTTCCAGGCCAGGCCAAAGCCCTGATCCAGCCCAGCTCTGCCAAGTGCCCTGGGCTGGGAGCAGCCAAAGGCAAGAGGCTGCAGCCCCGCCGGCCGGGCTGGGGGCTCCTGGTGCTGCCCGTGGGGGGGGGTAAGTCAGAGGGACACCTTTCTCTCCTCCTGCTGTTGGCATTTGCTCCCTGGGCACTGGATGTGTAAGGAAGGACGGAGTAGCAGGGAAGGGCAGTGTTTCCAAACTGTCTGAATGTTGCCCCAGGTCTGGGATGGAGCAGCCATGGGGGTGGTTGGATTTGGCCTGGGCCGGTCAGGATCAGCCATAAAGGACCCACCAGACCCTGAACCCTCACTGGACATGTCCAGCCCCTCAAGTTGTTAATTTTCAACAGAGGACAAGTAATTGGTAATTGCTTCTGATCTGTGGAGAATCTCCTTTGGGATGATCAACCAGAGAGTGTATCAGTGCAAAGCATCCTTTTGGGTCTTTTATTTGTTTGTGATTTCCTCTCTGGTTTCAATGAGTTTGGTGTGCTCCTGTTAAGGAAGCAGCGTGTTTTTATCTGGAAATTTGGGGTGGTTTGCTTTGTTTAGGGTGCTTTTTCCCCCACTGACTCGGGCCTTCCGTGCATAGTCCGTGTTGTCCTACAGGACTGTTCTGGTTCTGGGTCAGAGAGAGAGAAGGGAAGTGGCTTTTCCTCATCTGGAATGTTTCCAAGCAGAAGTGGGACATTGTCCTGCCCCTCCCCAAAGCACTGCAGGCACCTGGGAGTAGCTCAGGGCTGGCCCAGTTCTCTGAGACAGAACCAGGGGGGAGAGGTTTAAGTATTAATCACATCTCTGGTGTCCCTTGGTTGCAAAGATTGGGTCCTCCAGTCCCAGGGTGTTAAGGAAAACAAGGAACTCCTGTTCTTCCTGGCAAACCTTCTGTTATTGCTTGGCAGTGTTTGGGTTCTGTTGTCTGAGTTCCTGTCCAGGATCTTTCTAAGAGAACCTGTTAGAAATGTAGAGGTGGGGTTAGAATGTGGGTGTGTTCCCTACCCAACTGCCTCCAAGTCCTGATGGACTGGAGTGATGAGTGCTCTCAGCCCAGGGTATTTCTTACTGTTGTGTGGCTTTCCCTCAGCTGTGGGTGAGGAATTGTGCCAGCAAGGCCTGTGTGCCCGTGGGTGTCTCCCGTGTGTGTCCGTGGGGCAGGGCTGGGACAAGGACTCGTGCAGGGACCCAGCTGGCACTGGAGCTGCTGCCATTCTGAGCCACTGCCAAGGGCTGGGGAGAGACCATCTGGGAGGCTGTTCCCAGGGTTCCATTGGGAGCTGGATCTGCCTCCAGCTGCAGCAGCCAGGGGAGGGTTCTTCCTTGTGCAGCCCAGTGGCTTCTGCTCAGGCTGGCCCAGAGTGGGGCTGGGGCAGGTTCTCCAGGGAACTGGAGCCAGCCCTGAACGGGGCTCTGGAGAGCAGGAGCTGCAGGGACTGAGGTTTGCAAAGCTGGGCTGAAGTTTGTCAAAGCAGCAGAACATTCTCATTCCTGTGGGTCTGTGGAGTCCGTGTTGGTGCCCAGGAGAACTGGGTCAGACTGGGCTTTGTGCTCCGAGAGCTGCCCCCCTAAATGTGGCAGGCTGTGTGTGCTGGCAATGAAGTGCTGTCCCAGAGGCTGATGGTTTCTGTCTCCAGGTGTGCCCAGGACGCTGCCAATGCCCAGGGATCTGCTCTGGGTCCAGGCTGTCCGTGCTGGAGGGCCCTGGTGGCTGCAGTCCCTGAGCCCGCAGAGACAGAGAGAGCCCCGGCCCGAGGGGCCTTTGGCCCCTTGTCCTGAATTTGGGGTGAGCCTGGGAGCGTGTGGAGGGTGAGAATGAGGGCTGTGCTTCCAGTGCATCATCCCTGGGAAGATCCTGTTGTTCCAGAGCGCCGGGGACAGTTTGGGCTTGGCAGCTTCAGAGCTGGGTTGGAGCAGCCCCTGGAAAGAATCAGGAGAGTGGAGGTTTGTCCCAGTGGTGCTTTCACACCCCACTGGACAGGCTGGGCTTTGTGTTTGAGGCTGTCCTGTATTTGCTCTGCAGATAAGGGGCCCTTCCCAATTCAGCCCAGCAGATCCCAAGGGCTCTGACAGGAATATTTGTTCTTTCCTTCCCTTTGGGATAACTTCATCTCCAGACTGCCATGAGCAATTCCTTAATTTCTGCTGGAGAAAACCAAGTGTCAGAGGCAGTTTGCCAAGGAGCCCAGAAGTGTCTTTGGAGCAGAGAGTGCTGCCAGCTGCGTGTGCCTGTCCCCAGCCTGGCACTGCCCACAGGGACACACTGGGCACAGACCATGAGAGGGAACAAACCCACTGCCTGCCAGAGGGTTTGTCCTGGGCCATCAGGCCTTGGGCAGGAATTGCACTGGGCAACTCCATCAGCTGCTCTTCCCTCCCCCACCAAGCCCCATCCCCTGGGCATTAATGACGTGCCCTGTGCCCAGCGCTCCCTGTTCACCCAACTGAAACCAGAGCAAGGCTTGCTTTGCTTGGAACAACTTAAAGTAACTTTAAACCAAAATAAATCACTTTTTTTGTTCTTTTTTTTCCTTTTAGATGCTGGAATTGCCTCTCTGGCTGTGTGCTGAGCTCTGGCTGCAGGGGACTGTCAGGCCTTGGTGGCTGTGAGTTCCTGTTCTTCTCCCTGGGAAACTGGAAAGAGTTCTTCATTAGATTGCAGAAATGTTTTCTGAAGCCTGTCCCCTTCTTTGTGCCTTTTGCTGACAGACCTTCTCTTTCTGCCTTTGCATGTACAGCTGTTCCCTGCTGTCCATTCCCTGGCCTGAATTCCTTGCAGCTCCCAGCTGGGGAAACCTGGGAGAACATGGCAGGGACAGAGGTGACATTTGTAGCTGCCAACTTGGGGTAATTTCAAGGGGCCCCAGCAACTGTTTGTGTAGGAAAAGGTGAGGTGCTGCAGAGGGGAGGGAGGTGGCATTTTGGAGGGGTCCCACTGAGGGGGAGTGGAGAGCCTGGGGCTGGAGTGTGAGTTCTTAAACAGGGAAGAAGGGAAGGATGCTTGGGAGGGAAACACTCAGGGAATGTGTAGGGATGGAATGAAAAGTTGGGGCGTCAGGAAGAGAAAATGGGTGATGTAGAGGAAGGGAAATGTTGGGTGTAAGAGTTGATGTCATCTGTAGAGGACAGAATGACCATTTAGAGATAAAGTGAGGCAGTGAGTGGTGGGCAGGTAGGGAAAATTTGTGTGTGTAAAATTTCAGGTCACCTGTAGCAGAGAGGATGTACCTCCTGCTGGACACTGAGGCAGTCAGGGGTGGGCAGGAGGGGAAACCTTTGGGGGTAAAACTTGAGGGAACGTCCAGGGCAGAGAGTGAATATTTTGAAGGATAAATGAGGTGCTCAGTGGTGGACAGTTGGGGAGTGTTTTAGGGTAAACTTGGGGTAGCCCACAGGGTAGAGAACGAACATGTATTTGTAGAGAGGAGCTGATTACATGTGGGTAGGTAAGGAGAATTTTGGGAGTAGAATCTGTAGCAGAGAGAAGGAATACCTTGGGGTAAAGTGAGGCAGTCAGTGTTGGGCAGGGAGGGAAAATTTGTGTTTGTAAACTTTGAGGTCACGTGGAGCAGAGAGAATGTACACCATGAGGTAAACTGGGGTAATCAGTTGTGGACATGTGGGGAAAATTACAGGGGTAAACCCTGAGGGAACGTCCAGGGCAGAGAATGAATATTTTGAGGTAAAACTTTGGGGGTTTTGAACGAGGTTATCTCCAGGGGAGAGAAAGGACATCAGGAGGTCAACTGAGGTAATCAGTGGTGGCCAGGTGGGGACATTTAGGGCAGAAATCTCTGAGGTAATCTCCAGGGTCCAGAATGAATCCTGAGAGGTGCAGAGGAGGCAATCAGGAGCGGACACCACAGCAGGCCAAGGGAAGGTTCTGGGGGTAAAATGTGTGGCAGTGTCTGGCAGAGAGAATGAACATTTTGGGATAAACTAAGGCAGTCATCAGTGGACAGGGAAAACTTGAGAAACCCTCCAGGGTGGAGAATGAATATTTGGAGGTCAAAAGGACGTAGTCAGTGGTGAGCAGGTAGGGAAAGTTTGGAGAGTAAATTTGAGGTGGTCTGTAGGGTAGAGCAGGAACATATTTAGGTATACATGAGGGGATCAGCTGTGGAGAGGTAGGGAAAATTTCGGGTGTCAAACTTAAGCAAATATGCAGGGCAGAGAATGAATATTTGGAAGTCCAAAAGAGATAATCAGGAGTGTGCAGGTAAGGAAGACTTAGGGGGTTAAAAAGGAGATGATCTCTAGGGGAGAGAATGACTCTTTTGTGTTCAAGAAAAGGTAATCAGGAGTGGGCTGGAAGGGGAAACTTTGGGGATTTAAAAGGAGGTTCATTCTCTGCAGGGCAGGGAATGAACACATTGAGGTAAGCTGAGGTGATGAGTGGTCAGAGACACAGACAGTTGTGGGTGTTAAAGTTCAGGTAACCTGCTGGGAAGAGAAGGAAGGTGTTGAGGTGACCTGAGGGTCTCTGCAGTGGCCAAGCAGGGAAATGTTGGGCTGAGCCCTGAGTTGCTCCCGTGTGGGGCGGCTGCAGCGAGGCCGAGCCCTGGCCCTGATTTGCCAGCCATGGGCAGGGGGCTCTGTGCCAGCCGGGGGAGCAGCGGGGCCCCCGTGGCAGAGAGGGCAGGGGGGCTGTGGAGCTGCCCCGGGGGGAGCGGGGGGGCCTTTCCTGGGCCGCCTCCAGCCCCCCTCGATCCCCCCCTTGGGGGGGCTGCGCTGCCCCCCGAGGCTGTTTGGGGCAGAGAGTGCTGCCAGCTGCGTGTGCCTGTCCCCAGCCTGGCACTGCCCACAGGGACACACTGGGCACTGACCATTGGCCCAAGTTGTGTTTGCACCAGCTGGGGCCAGAGGTGCCAGGCAATCCAAAGCAAACCCTGCTCAGCCTCCAAATCCCAGGGGAAGTTCTCCAAGCTGCTCATTGAGGGACTAAAGATACATTGAAATGGAACCGAGACACTACTAAGTTTCCTGGGAATCCCAGTATTGCTGTCCTAGAACTTTTAACAGCTTTTTAAGCTTTTTATGACAAGAATGGCTTTCTTCCTTTGGATGAGTCCCTCGGTAGGATTTGGGGTTTCTTTGGATTCTGAATCCCTCCCAGGGGCCCTGACACTGGTCAGGAGCTGGCAGGACAAACAGAGTCAGAGCTCCTGGCAGGCACAGGGGCTTTCCCCCAGAGTGGATCCAACTGCTGCCCCCCAGCCTGGCCAGGCGGGATCTGCTTTGGCTCCCGGCTTCTGCCAGAGACAGAACGTGTTCCCTTGATTGGAATGAGGATCCCATAGCTTCATCTCCTGGAGGTTCCCTGGGCAGCTGATCCGCTCTGCCCCGTGTCCTGCTCTCAGTTCCTGCCCAGCCAGAGCCAACTGTGCCAAGGGCACGAGCACTCCCAGCCTGGATAGGGAATGGGGGACTGGCTTGTGTACAATTCACCTAGAAAGTCAAACCAGGGGATTGTTGGAGTATCTGGCTCCTTAGGGAACCTGCTGGGAGTAGAGAAGCACAGCCCCAAACCTCCAGCTGTGGGTGGAGTCGTGGAACGTAAACCAGCACAAACCAATCCCCCAAAATGAACCGTGGGAGAGCAGGACCAAATAAGGGTCAGAGTCCCTGTGGAAAGGCCAAAGGAATCTTTTGGGACTTGGATTGTCCCCTTGGGAGATGCTGGTTTCTGGGACATAGAGAATGCCCTCCCTCAGGCTGCCAAGATCTCTCAGTGCAGCAGCTTTGGCCAACACAGCAGCACAAAGATTGTTCTCTGCGGGGGGCCCAGGTTTGGGTTCCGGTCTCAGCTTTGCAGGTTTAGATGACTTCTACCTACAGCCCGCAATTCCATGCTGAATTCCTGCTGGAATAACCTCCCAGTGTCTCCTGGAGCTCAGATACTCCCCTGCAGAGCTGCCGCTTTAACACCAGGTTTGCCAGGAAGCAGCCACGGTTCCAGGTTTGCTCAGCGGGATCGGGACAAGGACAGGTTGATGTTGCACAGACTTTGCTGTTTGTAACCCTCCTGCCCCGGCCCCGCCGGTGTCCCTGGGGGGACTTGAGCGAGTTCCCTGGAATTGGGCCGATTCTCCGCCCCGGGCCGGGCTCCAGGGGATGGGTTGGCCCAGGAGAAGGCGGGGGCCGGACGCGCTCCCGGCCCGGGGCGAGGCAGCCCCTGAGCACGGGCGAGGACGTCTCTCCGGCCGGGAAGCCGCTGTCCCTTGGGAGCCTCGGGAGCGGCCCCGGGGAGTTCTTTTCCCCGAGCAAAGGGATGCACGTGCGGCTGAGGAGCCGCGGGCAGCCCTTTCCCCGTGCCCACCCCACGGGGGCTGTAGGGCACAGCTCCAGGGCACAGCTCCTCCATCCCCCGGCAATAGGAAGCCCAAGCAGGGCTGGGTCACTCTCTGTCGCTCCGGCCTCCTCCCGGCCCGCGTTCCCTGCCCAGCTGGTTCTGCCCAGGGAGCCCCGAGAACATTCCTGGCGGGAAGCAGCAGCCGCCGAAGGCTCCGTCCAACTCCGGGCCCGAAAAGCGGCCCCGACCTGAGCCCCCCCCCCCGCATTTTGGGTTCCCAAGGCTCACCTGGAGGAGACGCCCCCCCGCAGGCGGGACCAGGCGGCGACACTCGACCAACGCCTTTGCCTCGGAGCAAAGGATTCCTCTGGGCTTATTAGGCTCATTTATCCCTGGAAAAAGACGTTGTACGAGCACCTTTGCAACCATTGGATGAATCCTGAACGGGGCCGGCAAACCTCCCTGAGCAGGGCAGTGATGAATTGGTGCCCGTCCCCAGCCGGGCACAGCCCAGCCGGCCGCGCTCCCTCCGGCCCGTGGCTGGGAAGGGGGGATTTAATGCTGCAGAGATTTAATAAAAGCGGATTTCCTGACTGTATTTACCTGCGGTCCTTCCCTCCTTTGACTCGCGCAGCAGCGTCCGGTTGAGCGTTTCTTGGTTTCCTCTCCTGTAGCCGTTTCCCTCCCAGGCAGGACCTTCCCCGTCTGCAAATAAAGATGGGGGATGTTTAAAAAGCAGAGGGTTTGCCCCGGGAGGGTGCGAGTTGCCGAGGAAGCGGGGGAGAGGAAGGAGAGCCTCAGGTCTCACCTGGCAGGTGTCAGAGGAGCCGCACCTTCTGGATGGCAGGGCAAAGAACTGCTGGGGGCAATTGCCGAAGTTCCGCAGGCAGAGCTGGGAGCAGCCTGTGCCCGACCCGCGGCACGGTCAGTGCCGGCTCCTGGGGCCGCCTGTGGACAGACACAGAGACAGGGGACAGACGGGCAGCTCTGCTGGGGGTCCCGGAGCACGGGAGGAACGAGGGAGCGGCTGCCCCCGTTCTTCCCTGCCCCGGCAGGGCCCCGGCTCCCCGCGGCCGGAGCGGGTCCGTGGCCGGAGCCCCGGCGGGCCCCAGACCCCTCGTTCCCGGGGGGCCCTGCGGGCGGGAACCTCCTGGGGCCGCGGGGAAGAGGGAGGCGGGCGATGTTCTTCGGGGGGGGGTGCGATGTCCTCGGGGGTGCCCGAGAGGGAGGAGCTCCGATCCCGCGGGGGGTGCGGGCGGCGCTGCGGGCCCGGCGGGATCGGGGGGTCCCGGGGCCGGCCCGGCGTGTCCCCGCACCCCGGCCGGTCCCGGCCCGGGTTCCGCGTCTGTACGAGGAAAGCGCCGCCGTTCTCCCCCAACCGGGCCCCGGCAGAGCCCCGGCCCGAGCGGCCCTGCCGAGCTCGGCCCCAGCGCCCACCCCGGAGCGAGTCCGGCGATGCCGATCCCCGTACCGCTGCCGAACCCCATCGCAGCTCCAAGCCAGCCTCGGTCCTCCGGTGCCGGTGCCGTCCCCGCTCAGCGCCCCGAGCTCGGCGCAGCGCCGGGAGCAGCCGCCGGGCCGGGACTCCGGCCCCGAGCGCCGATCGCTCCCGCAGCATCCCGGTACGAGCTTCCTCCACAAACGCGGGGCGACCGCGGCTCTGCCGGCTTTAAACCCCGCGGGCGGGGCGGGGCCGGGGCGGGTCCGGGGCGGAGCGGGGCCCGCACAGGTGTGCGAGGCGGGGCCCGTCCAGGTGCGCGGGGCGGGGACGGGCAGGGGGCGGGTCGGGGCGGGGGTATTTAAGCGCCGGAACTCGCCCCCACAGCCATTTGCTCGGGCAGTGCGCGGGGAGGCAGCAGCGCCGCGGGAGCCTCTCGCTGCCGCGGCTCTTTTTCTTTGCTTTTGCTTTTGCTTTTCCCTTTTCTTTTACTTTGTTCCCGTTCCTTCGTCCCCTCCCTTCCTCCCCCCCCCTACCCCCCACACCCTCCCCCCCCCAAACCCCCCCCCTCCCTCTCCCCCCTAGCCCCCCCCTCCCTCCCTCCCCAACCCGCTCGTGCCCGGCGCCCCCTCCCTGCCCCGCAGGGGCAGCCCGACCCCCTCCGCCCTCCCTGGTCCCCCAGCCGGCCTGGCCCAGCCGGCCTGGCCCCGCTCCCCCTCCGGCCCCTGCTGCACAGCCCGCCCCGCCCTGCCCTCCTTCCCGCCCCTCCGCCCTGCCCGTCCCCGCACGCCGCCTGCCCCCGGCCCCTGGCGCTGCCCTCCTGCACAGCCCAGACCCCCTGCCTGCCCCTGCTGCCCCCTCCCTGCCCTCCTGCACAGCCCGGCCCCCCCGTCCCCTCCTGCCTGCCCCTGCTCCCCCCTCCCTTCTCCGCTGCACAGCCCGGACCCCCCGGCCCCTCCTGCCTGCCCCTTCTCCCCCCTCGCTGCTCCTCTGCACAGCCCGACCCCCCCCCGTCCCCCGCTCCGTCCTTGCCCCCCCGCCCGTGCCGTCCGTCCCCCTGTCCCCCGGGCCGTGTCCCCGCAGCCGCGGGCTTGGGGGCGCCGGGTTTAATAAAGCCGCGAGGGCCGGAGCCGGCGCCCCCCCTGGATCCCCCTTTCCACGGGGCCGGGCCCGCTCGGCGGGTCCCCCCTGCAGTTCACAAGCACCGCCCGACACCGCCGGGGCTCCGGCCCGTCCCGACATCACACGGGGGGCTCCGCGGGCGGGGGGCAAAGGGGGCGGGTTCGCTCTCGGCACTAGAGCCGCAGATGTGCAGAGCTCGCGGTGTCCATTGCCGAGAGCGACCCCTTGGGCTGGGGGGGCCGGGGGGAGTTGGGGAGGGGCCTCCTCCTCCGGAGGGGGTCCCGGGAGGGGGGGAGGGACTTGGGAGGG